GGGATCAGCGAGGAAGGATCCCTGGGATTGGGAAGGATCCCGGGAACTGGGAAGGATCCCTGGGAATGGGAAGGATCCCGGGATCAGGGAAGGATCCCTGGGAATGGGAAGGATCCCTGGGATTGGGAAGGATCCCGGGATCAGGGAAGGTGGATCCCTGGGATTGGGAAGGATCCCGGGATCAGGGAAGGTGGATCCCACCTCCGTTGCGGTGTTTCAGCGCCAGGCACACCTCGATGATCTGCACCCCCAGCTCGTAGTAGAAATCTCCGACTCCCAACATCTCCGCCCAGAAGCCTTTTCCAGCTGGGAAAGGAGAGGGAAAAGGGATCAGAGCACCGGGAAAAACCTCCCGGAGCCGCTCCCGCGCCCCGAGCTCGCCGGAGACCGCGCGATCCCCCCGCCGTTCCCGAGGGATCCCAGCGGCTCCGGGAGAAATCCCAGCGGATCCCTCACAGGCCAGGGGATCCACGCCGATGGTGGCGCACATGTCCTGGAACTGCAGCCGGAATTCCGGGCTCTTGCGGATCTCCTGCTTGTGCTTGCTGGCAAACGCCTCCAGGTGCGTCCGGAACGTCTCCAGCTGCTTGGACATCTGGGAGCCGGGAAAAACGGGATCGGGAACGGCAAACGGACTGGGAACGGAGCGGGGGGGACGGGAATGGGGATGGGATCCATGGGATGGGATCCATGGGATGGGATCCATGGGATGGGATGGGATGGGATGGGATCCATGGGATGGGATCCATGGGATGGGATGGGATGGGATGGGATCCATGGGATGGGATCCATGGGATGGGATGGGATGGGATGGGATGGGATGGGATCAATGCGATGGGATGGGATGGGATGGGCTGGGATCCATGGGATGGGATCCATGGGATGGGATCCATGGGATGGGATGGAATGGGTTGGGAGGCATGGATGGGGAGCCATGGGATGGGATCCATGGGATGGGATGGGATCCATGGGATGGGATCCATGGGATGGGATGGGATGGGATGGGATGGGATCCATGGGATGGGATGGGATCCATGGGATGGCTCCAGCCCCATCCCAAGGGAATTCCCACCTGGGCCAGCTGATCCTCGGCCAGCACCGTCCCTCGCTCCTTGTACTTGGCCTGCGGGAGGGGAGGGACATTCCCGAACCGGGACATTCCCGAACCGGGACATTCCCGAACCGGGACATTCCCGAACCGGGACAATCCCGAACCGGGACAATCCCGAACCGGGACATTCCCGAACCGGGACAACCCCGAACCGGGACAATCCCGAACCGGGACATTCCCGAACCGGGACAATCCCGAACCGGGACATTCCCGAACCGGGACATTCCCGAACCGGGACATTCCCGAACCGGGACATTCCCGAACCGGGACATTCCCGAACCGGGACAATCCCGAACCGGGACAATCCCGAACCGGGACAACCCCGAACCGGGACAATCCCGAACCGGGACATTCCCGAACCGGGACAATCCCGAACCGGGACATTCCCGAACCGGGACATTCCCGAACCGGGACATTCCCGAACCGGGACAATCCCGAACCGGGACATTCCCGAACCGGGACAACCCCGAACCGGGACAATCCCGAACCGGGACATTCCCGAACCGGGACAATCCCGAACCGGGACATTCCCGAACCGGGACAACCCCGAACCGGGACATTCCCGAACCGGGACAACCCCGAACCGGGACAACCCCGAACCGCTGCCCCCCACAGCCCCCCGCGCCCTCCCCAGCTCCCGGTCCCGGTTCCATTCCCGCTCCGTTCCCGCTCCGTTCCCGTTCCATCCCCGCTCCGTTCCCGCTCCGTTCCCGTTCCGTTCCCGTTCCATTCCCG